TAATTGATTTGGATTTTATTATTAATTAATCCAAATTAATCCTCCATAAAATCCAACCAGGCCCCTTCATCAGCCGATTCAGGCTGGCTGTGTAATGTTACTTACTGACTTCCCAGGGAATTCCTGTAAAGTTCTTCCTGCACTGAGTGTCTAAGGAAGTACAATTATCCTACACCACCCAGCAACACTGTACAAATTTCACAGCATGCTCTACACAAATGGGTACAGTACAGACAGCACACCCATGGCCTGGGAACATATTAGCCACCTGCATTTCTGAGTTATGTGAAGAACAAGTAATTAATACAAACAAAACCTACCATATCTCACAAGCATTTATTTGTGCTGAGAAAAATTATTAGTGGAAGCATGTGATAGACAAGCAGTAAAACACAACAAGCGCAGCACACAGAAAAAAGATTTCAGGAAACAAAAATGAACCTTCACCTCTGGAAGTGTCTCCAACACATAAATATAAAAGTCTGTACCCATAAGTATGACCTATTGCTCTGTACCAACACCCATCTCTTGCTAATTTAAAAATAAATGAGCGCACTTACTTCTGCCCAGCTGCTTCACATAGATGTTCATTTCTGCAATAAAACTCCTGTAAGAGAAAGAAAGGACACAAAGGTACAATTATCAATAGCTGACACTGCAAAAACAGCCAAAGATCTCTGTGTCCTTAGTCAGAGACTCTCAATTCATCACTGGCCAAGGTAAAATATTACTGCTTTTAAACCTTTTAACCCCAAGTTAGTAGCAAACAGACTTGCCCATCAATAGAACCAGCAGATCTGTTTAGAAGAGTCCTGCAAATGCCACCACTCAGCATGGAAATGTAAAGGCACATTATTAGCAAATATGCTCTGAGCTAAGTTCAAGGCAACAACTGCAAAGCAGACAGTATGTAAATGGTACATGAACAGGCGTCCCACTGTACCATTAACTGTATCCCACATTATACTCACGTAACCCACTAGTAGCCTGGGTTTATTAATTCAGATGCAACACTTAATACAGCTGCCCTGGTTTTTGCCACACATTTGGCCAGCTCAAGAACACAGGCAAAACTAAACCAGGTCATTCTGTCAAAGAGCATTAAATGTGTCTGCACAGAAGGAGACAGAATAATTGAATTTTCATGAAGCCCTTATGGCCATACTTTGGGAATAGCATATAGTCAAAAGTAACTCTGGGCAGCAAATGTAAGAGTTTGCCAGTAGGCATCTAACCAATTCATTTAAAGATTAACAGGCATATTAATTGAGACTTAAAAAGAGAAAAATATATGTCAACAGACATATGAGGATGAAGGAAACCAAGATCCATGTTTTTAAGAATCACAAATCTATGCATGTATTTGCACAGATTAAAAATGAAAGCCAAATTCTTATTAGACAGGATTTAAATTGGCAAATGTGATTCAAGATGCATGACTGGGCTTTATCAGACTGAGATCCTCTTTGAAAACTAGGCCTTGGTACTTCCACAGCTGCCAGGCAGAGCCTTGCAGCTGTGTCCTTCATTTCTTGCTGTAAAGAAACAAACAAACAAAAAAAAAAAGGTTAAGGGAGGGATTTAAATGTCAAGTTAGAACTCCTTCCTGTACTACCAGTGAACTGACCTTCAGGCACAGTGGCTTCATGGGTCAAAGGCCACTGGCTTTCAGGGACACAACAGCCAACTAAGGCACCGATGACAGTATGTTTCTCAGCCAGGCCTACAGTCAGCATTCAATCTCATTCTCCTCCACCTAAGGGGAGAACAGCAACACCAGAAATCAGTTGGCAGCCAAACCCCATGCAATTACTTAGTACAGCCTCAGCAGCCCATGTGTGAACACGCACAGATTGTTGCTGTCACTCGCTGCTACTCTCTTCA